TACCGCAGTCCCATGTGGATCAGAGAATAGCCACAATGTAGTAAAATTGAACCCTGATGAAGATAAATATTATCTTCTTACCCCATACCCCACATTAATGCAATCACTCAAAAAAATTTTCACCCGAAAGCATCAGAGCTATTGCTCGTAACCCAAATATTGATTTACAATCAATTGGAATATATTCAAAATCTGATATCCAACATCACATTAGAACACAACAATTCCGGGAATTATTAACACAAATGGACACTATACAAAGACAATCAATTGACCAAAACTTACGCAAACTTGCCGAAACAGCAGGATTTGCAGATATTTATACACAAGATTATAGCGGATATTTTAAAGACATTAAAGACTATATATTTCTAAACGGTGAAAAATACAGACCACAAGATATTTCACCCATAAATATTTTTAGCTTTGTTACACTAAAAAATGAAATTCTCGATTTTCTAGGATGGCCCTATTACATCTTAGAAAAATTAACTATCCTATACGCAATGTTTAACTTTATAGGATTTCTTTTTTCACTTTTAAAAGGAATCTACAACACATGTGCTATACACACACAAGTAAATAGACAAGCAAGTGTAGCACGCATACTATTTGCAGGATTTTTTGGAATTTTTTCATCATCAAATAACAAAATTCTTCTAGACGCACAAATCAAAGAATATAATACAAAAATAGCAACAACACAGAACACGTACAACGAAGAACATAATAACATAGAAGTAACGCCTACAGCACCACAGCTGCCACCCCTACCACATAACCATCCATTATCCTTAGTCCCACGAAATTTCCGAAACCTAGCAATAACACATAACCCAAATTTTAGACCAAACATATCGCAAAGTCCCATACAACACATAATGACACATCATTCACAAGATGAAAATACATATGAACAAATTATAGAACAACCCCATACCACCGCTTTTCAGTCTCAAAATAGTAATTTTTTTAGCCCACGATGAGCCGACAACTTGGATCCCTACACCGCTCAAATTCCCATCCAACCAACCTCAACACTCCAATCACAATAATCCCACTTTTTGCTTTCCCGCCACCCGATTTTCCAACTAGTAATATAACATCAAGCATGAATTCGGATACTAATTCAGATATTTCAGTTTTATACCCCATTTCACAACTCAATAACCCTAATATAGAAACCCCTGACGAATTTGCAGACTCCGAACCATCTCCATCCAATAATTTTCAAACCAACTCCTCAGTTTTTTCAAAGCCCCCTTTTCAACTAATCCCAACAAATAATCCACTCCCACCCATTTCTACTCCCTCTTATGCATCACAAGTAACCCCAACCTATTCTCCATTTCATTCCGACCGATCATCTAATTCTCCCGATACTCCCCAAATTTCCCAGGAACTTGATAATTTTATCACCCTACAACAACAGCTAATACACCCTAACACCCGCACAATCAATCAAATTTCATCCACAATAGAATCCTCAAACCCACCTACTCCTACACCCTCCTCAGCCTATACTGCATCATTGGCACAATCATCAACATCCACCGAATCATCAAATAGCACTAACCGAGCTTATCGCACTTTTAAAAGAAAATTCCCAAACCATCCATTCCCGACCAAAACCAGGAACAGCCCGTGAATATATTAATCATCCACACCACACCAACACGAAAGATTTTCTAGCAATCACCTTACCTTCATTTCCACAATATACTTTAAACACACCTAATGACACTAACGACACACGTAGTTTTGTAGATGAACATGTTTTAATGCCTACACTTCATTGGACAACATATTATCATTTTACTAATCCCCTTTGTCTCCCACTATCTAATACTCATAGCGATATAGAACAGCATAAAGATATGCTATATAGACTCACCGCAACACTAACACCTAGACAATTTACTTATATAGGATATAAAAAATCACTAAAAACATTCACTGCACCCCGAGCTAACGAATTTACGCTAGAATATTACGACCATAATATCATCCGAACTAATCAAGACCAATTTTTAGATGACGACCGCTTCACTAACCCACAACTAACAGAAAAATTCTTCATCAAAACATCATATGTATTCACACTCAAAATTTTTGATAGAAAATATGATCACATCATTTCTGAAGCACTAACTGATATGCAAGCTTACGAAAGTTTTAAAGAAAAATTTCAATTATTTTCACTAACCTTTCACTTCCTTGCACCACATGAACGCGATTTGCACTGTTCACATGACATCATGTTACGCACTAAACAAACTCACACATATACATACTATCGCTTCATACAAAGTCATTTTGATCTACATACTCCATCAAGACAACCACACCATCGTTTTCAGTTTCTTAACTCGAAGTACACCTCACAATTTTTTCTAAATTTCACCTATTGCATCAAATATACTAACCTCCACGGCATCCTCCGCAATTATGACCCAATAACACAGATGTATATATTTTGTCCCATCACGAAGACCTTTAATGCTGAAGAATCCAGACCCTTCCTTATCCCACATGAATTTATTCAACCTATAGAAATCCCTATATTAGAATTTATTCATAATACTAAATACAATCACAAAATATATAATCTCATTCAAAACACACCTTATGAGTTTGCAGTTGGCACCGAAGAACTAAAAACTATTAAAGCACTTCAATTGCTTTGGCCACTGCTTCAAACTAAAAACATCATTCGCATACTAGCAAAGTTACTAACAAATTCCGACATGATACACGACATCTTCCCCCACGGTTTTTTCCCAGAAGATTAACAGGTATGTATAATTTCAAATACTCTTTACTAATAAATTTAAATTAATACTAACCATTCTTTACTCATGTTTCTTTTAGATCTTTAGTCCTCATACCACGATCATCTGCAAAAAACAGAAAAGAAAAATAAAAAATAAAAACTTGTTAAATTTATTCTAAACTTCATTAATATTTTCACAAAATATTCTGATAAAATTTATACAAAATGTAGTAAATTAATTTATAAATTATTCCCCCATAAAGCAGTAAATTTAAATATGATGAAAATTTATAACTTCCCCCAAAACTAGCAGTAAAATTGAAATTCTATGTAATAAATTAATAAAATAAAAATGCAGTACTAACCTTTGATATTTTCATTCACTCGCACAAGAATTCTGTCAAAAGTCGCACGGCTCGCCCACGAAGAATTGTTTAAATAATGAATTTCAGTTTCAAGTTTTCACACTCAACAACTCTAACACACGATAACAAGTTTCAAACTTTCCTTTAACCCGGTTGGAAAGGAATTATATACTAAAACAAACTAACCAACGCAGCTTACTAAACACCACAAACCATAAAATAACAGCATGACTAAGAAAAGAAAACCAACGGTACCCAAACCGGATTAACCCAGTTTAAAACTGGATAATTTATTCTTTTGAAGACTATTATAAAGTCTAAGAAAGAAAAAATAAAACACAAAAAAGTCGAAAGACAAACCCATAACAAAAACAATTTGATTTTTGAAAAAAGGACACAACCAAAGGAACATAAGAAAGACCAACATAAACCCAACATAAAACGTTATCACATAACAGGACCTCTCACAGAAACCGCACGAAATCATACTCCCACTCCTGGCCTAACCCACCAGAGAGGACGTCCTGAGCATGCTCTATAGCCGGCCTAACCCACCGTGCTACATCCACGCTTTGTGACCACACTTCTATTTTTAATAAGAGGTACTCAAGGGTGAGTAACTCTTCAAAATAACCGAACTAAAACAAAATGCTTTTGTGAAAACAACTAACTAAAATCATAATTAAAAAACTAAATTATACCTTGCAGTATATAGATCAGCACACAACAACAAAGACGAACGTCCAAAGACAAAATGACCCCACTACACTCGAACAAGAATGGCTAACCACAACCGATATGCCGTCCACAATCACAACTCAAAGGATTTAGAGTACGACTTGACTTCGCAGAAAAGGACTTCATTGAACTAGACCAATGACCACCTCGATGTTCAAGTATACGTACAGATCCGAGTTACAAGGCATCCCCTCCACGCACAATCTCCACGCCATTCCCAGACGAGGTTGAACACAAAACAAGTTCTCTACATAATACAGAAAAACCCATCATAGCAAACCATTTTGAAATCAGATTGATTTCGTTGGGAAACACAGTCGTTGTCACAAGAAGACACAACGATTAATGCCCCAAACTCCAGCGTCCTGGAACTTCTCTAACAAGAGGAACCGGACAAGAATACGATGTTCGCCCAATACCAACGTTCATCATCCATCCTTTGAATTGCAGAAAGATAATTCTAAAAAACTCTGTAAAACCCGGATGGGTGGAACCTGATCCAAATTACATTTTATGATTGGATAAATTAGATATTTCACCACTGTAAAGTATTTAATATTAACCAATCATGATCCATCTAACTAACAACCCACTTATTTGTATTTGCTGAAATTACTTGTATTTTCAGCACCAGATAGATTTGAATTTAACTTAGATATTAGTTGTCTCTCCAAGAGAACTTCAGCAGCCGCAACAAACCAGTATACCCTAGATCTATTGAGCCTAGCAGAGACTAGTTAAACACCCTGAGACTAGAAAGTATAAGAGTAAGATTAGGATCGGTATTAGACTAAGAAGTTGCACGAATCTATCCGGCCGAAAATAAGATAGCGTGACGAGCAGACGGTGTACCCTATCCGAAATTACTCTATGAGTTAACCACATAGGTCATAACTCACTATTGGTTGACGTTATTTTAATTCGCATTCCGTTTTTTCAATAAATTTCATCCAAACCTTGTTAACTATCCCCCCCCCCCCATTGCAATAGGGGGGAAATAGTTAACATGATCCCGATATTTTTGTGGCAGGGCTTAATACATATGTATGTAAGAAAACACTGACTCAAATTCATCCTTATGATAACTGTTTTCTGATTAGCTGCTAGTAATGTCTTCCACTCACGTATCTTTGGAAGCAGTAGTAGTGTCCGTCTTTGTTCTTGAGGACGAAGAAAGGGATGTGGTCATGCAGCCCCAGATCCAAAAGAAACTGGGCGCCTGTGACCTCGTTGTCTACTACGTTTTCAGGTGTGTCGCAAACGCCTGAAAAAAAAGAAAACAAAATCGTTTCAAAATCAAAATGAAAATCGTATCAAGAAAAAAGTTATGAAAAAATTTTAAAATGACAATCTAGAAACATAAAGCTGAGGCGATCCATGGTGTATTGTTTAAATTTGAACAAGAGCGTTTCCAAGGATTCTCTCGAGGGGGTGGTTGATTTTCAAAAAACTTCAAAAATTTGGCCGACATTTTTTTAGGTTGACCAAATTGATTTTCCGAGCTTTCCCAGAAAAGTATAGAGACCCTATTTTGACAAAAATTTTTACGCCGCCGGAAAACTTTTGAAAAAACAAATTAGGTCAAAAATGCCGTTTTTGGGACTTTTTGGAAAAAATTGACCAAAAATTGCGGTTTTTCGGCGCGCACGCTCCCCTTAAATTTAGTCTGCAATGGCGCCAAAAGCTTTAGATTTGACCCCTTCACGTTTTGTTACTATTTTAAGACATCCATTTTCAACTGTCTACCCCTCAATTTTTCAAAAGGCGCCTTTGGAAGCAAAATTTTTCGGTCACAACCTTCAAAAAAAGTCCCAAAATTGGCTTTTTGGCATGTTTTTTTTTACCTAAACAGCATCCGCCGCAAGATATTTTGTTAAAATAGTGTCTTATGGTGCTTTAAGATATCTCCAAAGATTAACTTAATCGACCTAAAAAAAGGTCCCCAAAAATTTGATTTTTTGAAAATACACCCTCCCCCCTCGAGGCAATCATCCATGATCCGCCCATGGTATGATTACCTAAAAAAATGAAGTCTTTTTTATCCCTTCATGTAAATTAGTCTCACAAGCAAATTTTAGACTATTTTTTTCTGGAGATAGCAATACGGTTGTATCATGAAATCACCCCCCATATCAAAATCCTTTATTATTACCCTTTGAGGCCATTGTTCGCGCTTAAATAAATCTTAAATTAATGGCGTCATTATGGCGCGAAAGTGAAAAAGCTAAAATTAGATTTTCTTAGACAAAAGGCCTTGAAAACTACTGGTTTGTCCGATTAAGGTCAGTTTGCCATCAAAATGTTTATAGATTTTTGAGATTATTTTGGAAACCGTATTGCTAAAATGCTTACCGAAAATGTTAAACTCATTGTTGTCGTATATTATTTACTTTTCATATTATCTGTTAAGTTGCCGATAAATTACAGATTTTGAAGCAGTATTTTGTAGATCTTACAGGATACGAGAGTGCGGCACATTTTGGTCCGCCGACCCGGACCCGTATTCTGGACGATATTCCAGAGGACAGTATTCCGGACGATATTCCAGAGGACAGTATTCCGGACGATATTCCAGAGGACAGGATTCCGGACAATATTCCAGAGGATATTCAGGACGATATTCCGGACACGATATCAAAACGAACGTTTGGCCAAATGAGTCTCGAAATTTGAATTGCCTTGTCAAAATTGGAGTGAGCTACACTTACCTGGCAAAAACAGAACTTCAGTTGTCGCTCTTCTAAAATCCCCGGGTGAGAAAAATACTAGTGAACATCCATTTGGAGTGTGGATTGTGGACATCCATTTGGAGTGTGGATTGTGGACATCCATATTTTGGACATCCTTGGAGTGTGGATTGTGGACATCCATTTGGGATGTGGACTGTGGACATCCATTGTGGACATCCATTTTTGTTTGGACATCCATATTGTGGACATCCATTTGGAGTGTGGATTGTGGAAATCCATTGGAGTGTGGATTGTAGACACCCATTTTTTCTCAAGACCCGAATTTTTCTGTGGATTTTTGGAATCTACCGGTGAACGCCTCTACAAAACTTGTAAGACTAAAAAAAAAACCAAAACTTTATCCATTTGTGCTAACTTGCTGATCTGATGCTTTAAATTCTGATACGAGGTTTTTTGATGGCAAAATCGTAGCCCCCAATTTTTCTCGATACCAAAACCTGATCAGAAAATTTTCTGTGGGTTTAGGAAAAAACCGGCCTCATAAACCTTAATTACGTTATCCTAACACCTTGTTTGTAAGCTCAACACCGTATCGAAAAAAAGGCCAAAAATTTTGAAAAAAAAATTGAAAATTTTTGATTTTTTTTTCCAAAAATTTAAAGTTTTGCAAATTATTCAGCAAAGCGCTTAGTTTCATAATAATTTAATTTAAACGACCGAGTCGATTTTTTTGCCCCAAGTTTTGGACTTTAAAAAAAAAATTCAAAATTTCGCAAACGCATCAGGTAATTGTTGGAAATTGAACCGTTGGTTAAAAACGTGGAAAAAAATTCGAAAAAAAAAATTTGGAAAATTTTCGGAAAAAAAAAATCCGAAATTTTCGAAAAAAAAAATTCTGAAAAAAACGCCGTGTTTATTCTTGAAACGTGGTGCAGCTAACTAAACTAGTTCAATTGGATAAAAGTAGCCGTAGTCGAGACCCGTAGCGTATTATTAAGCAAATCGTCTTACCTTTTGCGACAACCTTGTTAGCTCAGGGTGTTGCGGGAGGTCAGGTCGCGGTTTGCTTGATTCCCTCCCTCTTAAGTTGATTTAATTCACTAAATGTTCATACTAGCTGCTAGCTCGCTGCACCACGCTTTGAAAATACTTTCCCCCGCTTCGCAAAAGCGTGTATCTCAATCGTGCTTAGCCATTCCCGGGTTAAGTTTCAATCATAACGCAGTGAACGTCCGTAAAACTTGTCAGTATCAACTTGATCACTATCTCTTGAACCGAAACGACATTGTTATTTGGCACGACGCCGTTAATAACTCTATTAGTCAACACCGTAGTAATAACTTTAACGCACTAACAGCTAACCAGCTTAAGAAGATTCTTTTAAACTATAAACGCAATATTTATGCAATCGTTTACTGTAAACGTGTAGGCACGGAAGATATATATAGTAAGTTGAAAGAGTCAGGTATATTAGTTATTAATATAGTAACAGACCTGATATCTAGAGGGAAGCAGAACCTCACTGAGTTAGGGCAAAAGTACTTAGAACTACACCAGGTTCCCTCTCTAGAACTGAAAACGTTTACGATCCTTAGGCGTTATAGCTAGAATTTGAAGTATATTATTTCAAAGAAAAATACTCTTGAGCCAGGAAAACGCAAGCGGCAAGCGAATCAAAACAGAAGAAATGCTGAGCAGCAACTACGAATTAAATGAAGGGCTTCTCTAATGTGTGATATTGCTTAATGAGTCATAATGTAATTTATTGATACTAAAATTAAGGTCTTAAATTAATTATTCCCTTTTTTCTCTCAAAATGAGCAGTTGAGTGGTTGAGTAGAAGTGAACAAGTTCAAAAGTAATCAAAATGACAGAACAAATTGAGTTAAAATATCGACGATTGATGAATGGTCGAACATCACTAGAAAATGAGCTTTCCGTAGTTCACAGTCGCGTAACTGAGAGTTTAGAGGGAACAAATCGGAAAACAAAAATAAACGCCTTAATTGAATCATGCAAGAGTATTCTCGAAAAGGCATTAGCAAAAAATGATGAACTTGTGATATTAGCTAATAAAACCGATAAACCTAGCAAATTATTAACGGAGTTGGCTGCATGGTGGGATAGGATAGTTAAAGTTAACGATGAAGTAACTGGTAAGGCTCGTGCTCATATGGAATCTAATCAAGCATCAGAGGCCTGCGTCAGTGAAACTAGTCGATCAAAAGTTTCATCAAAATCGGCAAAATCCGGGTCGAGTAAGCAAAGCTCCATGAAATCATTGACCCCCAGTGAGCGCCGCAAAGAACTGCTCCTAGCGAAGATGAAGCGAGAAGAGTTGGAAAAAGAACATGAAGCAACCTTAAGACTGAAACAACAGGAAGCCATCATCGAAGAGCAACAGCATCTGATTGAGATGGAACGAAAACAACAAGAAATTAAATTTGAAATTGACCGTAAAGAGCAAGAACATCGCTTACGAATCGAAAAAAGTCGGCTTGAAATGGAACGATTAAGCGAAGAAAATCGTATTAAAGTAGCTGAAGCAAAAATGGTTGAAACTGAATACCTCGAAGAGTCTGAAATAGATCAGCATTTCGAGCTGGCGTCTTCGGTTGATCGTCGTTCTGACAGGGTAAACGATTGGGTTGATCATGCATTAGAAAACCAAGGTAGTTCCGTCTTCTTCAAAGTTTGAAAACTGTATAAATATAGAAAGTGGTTCGCATCAACACAGAAATGTGTCCACAGCGGAAGCTCCACCTTGGCGATCGTTGCCGAATCAGACTTTTGATTGTGATCAACAATGTTATCCCTATCAACCAACCGTCTCCTTCAGCGATGGCGATGGAATCAAGCACGCTGTATCCACTAATCCTGAGCACGAAACGCAGTCGTTGCTTATTTCCAATAACGCTACACTTTGCGAAAACAATACATCATCATTTTTTAATCCAGCTGGAACAGCAGCTACCAATACTCCGGTATGCTGTTACTTCTCTGTACATCATCCTTCGTCTTCCATTCAATATATCCCCGTCAACAACTTTAATAACGATTCCCGAGTTGTTGGAAACATGCCCGCCATCTCCAATCAATACTCCGGATACAACACCCATGCCATTTTGTCACAACCACTTGCAAATTTAATCTGCAGAAATCAAAACTTGCTATCACATAACATGTATAGCAACCCTGCGTCAGTGAACAATCCGTTTAGCGGACAGTCTGCCGTTATTAGTCAGCCCAATGTGCCACTAATGTCCCAGTGGACACACGCAGCCGCCCAATGTATCGCTGGGGTAACAAGTGATGGTAACACAAACCCATCGGTTGGTGTTTTTTCATCCGTAACGCCAATATCTCAGCAACAATTCCCGCACGTATCAAGTGGTGGTACCGTTTACTATGGGTTTCCCAATCACGACGCATCAGCTGAAAACACTTACATATATCAGCAGCAACCTCTTGCAGCTGATCCTAGCAACACATTGCCGTCGTTGCAACGAGCTCCCCAACCGCAAGCCGTGACACTGAATGACTTATTCCAAGCTCTGTCAGTCTCAAAGAAGGA